GATATGTATGATCTTCCTTATAGTATATATATAATTTTATTAAACGGCAAAGAAAATAGATAAATAAAAATATATAAATAGATAATAGAATGACAAAACATCCAACCAATATAAATCAAAAACATTTCAAGGGCTGCCAAGCCTGCTATAAAATAAAGTATAAACAGTTTAAGTTGTTAATAGTGATGAGTAATAAAAAGATTTCAAATTAAAATGAATTTTCAAAAAGAATCATATAGAAGTGGTTATGAAAAAGTTCAAACTAAATAAAATCAAAGTTATTAACACATTTATTTTCTATTGGAAAATATAATTTGTCGTCTGGAAGAATTTCATTTATATATTAATTGATAGCATCATCGACCTCCATCTATTTAAAAATGCCTCCTTTTCTTTGAATTGAGCACTAGCGGGATTGGTTATGAATAGTGGAAGCTTATTAAGTTCACCCATCCTTTGATTAAATAAGAACTTTCAGACATACGATTATGTGATAAAGAATCCAGTCATTGCCCTGCATTCTTTGCTTCACTTGCTAAAAAGAGAATAAAGCTTTTGCTTATTTAATTATAGAATATGCTTCTTTTTGGAGGTGAAAAAGTTCGTCAAATTTTTGTTTTTTGACAAAAAACAAAACAAGGTTTTTTTATTGCACATGGGTTTTTCAAGCATTTGTTTAAACATATACTTGAATAACTTGTGGAATTCATTTATTTTACTTTGAATTGTAACTTAGTTGTTCTAAAAGAAATGTTGACCTTTTGTTTAATGTTTGTATTATTCTTATTACTAAAAACGATAAACATCAAGAAAAGGCTTTTTAAATATTTTCGCTCATCTTTTATAAATGTGAGTAAAATATAGTGATTTTTTTTTTTAAATTTAGAGACATTTATTTTGCAATTGCAACAAAAAGTAAAGCCGACGGCATCGGGGGTGGGTGGGTGGGGGGGGGGGTAGGGGGGGGGAGGAGGGGGCTAGGGGGACACGGCCCTTCCCACTTTTTTTCTATTTTCACAAAATGATGATTGTGCCTCCCCACTTCAAAACCCGTGTCGCCGGCCCTGATAAGTAAGTTTTCATTCCATTAAAGTTTATTTTTCAATTGTTAAGCGACTTTTTTTAAATAATTTTATTAGTTTAGATAATTATTATAAAAAACAACATGTGTATGCTATATATGATACGCATTTTTTTTTTTTGCTTGGCAAAAAATGTATTATTTATTATATTAATATTAGTATAATAGTACTATTTGCTGTTACGAAAACTAATTACTGTACTGTAAGCTATATTTTATACTATAAATTTATAAATATATATAAATTTATAAACTGAACTGTTAGCTATATTTTCAGACAATGGCTTCAGGAAAAAAATGCCACAATACAATACTAGACCCAGCTGAAGATTTGAGACAGGCTGCAAGAAAGCGTAGACAGTTTTATTTGTTAGGCTTTCCACTGCAAAGCTTTGCTCCAAATCGACTTCCAACGACTGGAGAATTGCTTAGAAGGTTTTACTGGCTCCACATTAAAAAAGAAACTAGGTAACGTTTGAAAAATGTCTGAATTTTATTTGTTTACTTTTACTTAACCATATGACATTTTTTTAGCACTACCAAGATGAAATGTAAAGTTGGATGTGCCCTTGCTTCTGGAAAAAGTTATTTGAAATGTAGCAAGTTAGCTGAAGGAATGTGTGAAGAGAGTTAGCGACAGACAATCTGAGGTGTTTGCATTTTGAGAGAGCTAGTAAACTTATGGGACAAAGCTAGATTCGACAACAATTTCATACTCACAAAGCAGCAAACCCAAAACAAAATTACCAACAAGATCAATGAGTACCAATCCTTAAAAATACTCAAGACTCTAAGATTACCAGAAGGAAGCTTCTGCAAAAAAGTAAACAACTTTATAAATGAAAGCAACTTTTTATTCCCCATTCAAAAAGCCGTAATATTTAGCTTGATAAAGAATGATCCTTTGAGGAATAAAAAAAGGCTCAAAAAGAGGACATTGAATTTCTAACGCACTGTCTTAATGGGCGCATGGTCAAGACGGCATGTATTGATTACACATTTCAAAAAAATGAGAAAATAAGAATAATGGAAGAAATAATGCGCTCACAAAATAAAAAGCTCAGAAATCAAAAAAGAAAAGAATAAAAGAAAGGTAGAAGAACTAGAACTAGAAAGAGAGTTTGAAGTTTTCTGGTACACAGATAATAATAGCCTTCCAGACTCTGACGAAGTTTTTATGTCTCCTACAAAGACCCAAAAGATTTCAGGGGATGTAAAAGTTAGTCTTCAGCTTAGGATGGATGAACTCCTAAACAATTGGATCCCAATCATGACAAAATATGGTATTGGTGTTTGACCAGGAAACTGTATATTGACATCTCTTTATAAAGCTGGCGATATTAACATTGAGCAGTTAAAGATCTCAAGATCAACTCTGACTAGGAAAGCACACACTGTAGCAGAGTCAGAAACCTAGATCATCCGAGAGCAAAACATAGATAAAGTAAGAGATTTAAAGCTAGTGATTCACTTTCATACTAAAATTAAGTCAGTACACCAGTGAAGAAGCAATTTTCACAAGTCATGAAAGGATAGCTGTAAGCGTTTTTTCTCCTAAAGCTGGCCCTTTAGATTTTCTCCTTAGTATTTTGAAAATTAAAAGCTCCAAGGGAAGCGATTAAGCTGTAGCCATTCAAAATATTCTAGAATACAATGACCTATCTGATCAAATCATTGGGATGTGTGCTGACACCACAGCTAGCAACACAGGAAAGAACAATGGAACTATAAGAAATGCTATTGTTCATGATTTTATTGCTTGGATTATTTAATTATTTTATAAAATAACGTGCCTTTTTAATTTTATTTATTATTTTCTAGGTTGTTCATAAAACAGACAGCAAGTATCCAAGAACAAAGGAGTATCTGCAGAACATCTAACAAGTATTACAACTGTCATTACGCTTTTATTGCTTTTCTTTTTTATTGCTAACCTCTCTTTAGAACAATTATCTGAAATTAAATTGTCACACAAGATCTGTATCTTCCTGATTCTATTAGATATATTCGAAATCGAAATCAGTGTTTTGTGAAATCGAAATCAGTGTTTTGTGAGTTTGTGAAATCGATATCGAAATCAGTGTTCTGCGAGTTTTTCAAATTTAAAACTATCTATTCAGGAAAAATTCTATTATATAAAAATTGACTAAAACCACCTTCTTTACCTTAGAGTTTGAAAGGCTGAAATTTTTACTATAAGCTACTAATACATAATGATAACGGTTAAACCTTTCCTCATTTTGATTTTTGAAAAAAATATTTTTTTTGAAACACTCTATTATCCATGTTAATAAATTTACTTTTTTACTTAAAATTTTTTAACCTTAAATTGTTTATATGACATTTTTTAAGAGTATTTGTGTTTATATGACATTTTTTACGTTGAGAGTATTTGTGCGCCCAAACAAAAACAACTATGTACTTATGCTATGAAATGCCAAAACAAAAATAATTATGCTTATGCTTAAACAGTGGTCTGAACATCAATTACGACTTTGTAGTTTTTAAGAGTTAAGTTTTTTAATGAGTACACACCATTGTACTTCTAAAATAACTTTCTCGGTGTTCACCATCAGTTCTTTTTCCGTCCGACATCGATATGATCCGCTATTTCCCCGATATAAATCTAGCTTTTTTTATTCATAATTTAAAAAACTGGATAATCAAGTCTTTTTTTATATATTGATAATTGCAAGTGATTTATAGAATCGCGTTTTGGGTAGAAAAAAAAAATCAATAACTATATACAATCAATAGTTTTATATGGATAAACTTTAAATGAAATTTTAATCTAACAATAAATTTATTTTCTAGAAGCATATATCATGACAATTTAATTTTAGACTTATAACTTTATAAATGTGTCGGGAAAGAATTTCGAGCTGACAAAACTTCAAAAATGAAATATGAAATACCAAAAGAAATCCTGAAAAGTTAACTTCAGAAACGTCTATCTGACAAAGTAAATAGCTCTTCTGAATGCTATATAAAAACTTCAGTTACAAAAAAAAAAAAAAAAAAATACGTATTAAGTATGTTAATAGAGAGAATCAATTTTCTACAGAGTATTTAGGTGGTATAGATTTTTAGTTAGGTCATTTAAAACACTTTGAACCAAAATTTTAAAAACATGTTGTCAAAACGACTATTATTTATGATCTTGATCCAACTAGATAAAAATCATAAGTGGAAGCAAGATGATAAAACTTCATAAACATGTCAAGCAAGAACTTCAATTTTTAAAATGGTTTTAAAAATTAGAATTCTTGCTTTAACCCACGTTGTCTGATGCGAAAATTTAACCCACGTTGGTGATGCGGAGTGACCCACGTCATTTTATTAAATACAGTATGTCAGGTAAAATTTTAAGTACGATGGCTAAAATTTTAAAATGTGAATGTGTAATTTATATAAGAAATTTGTAGGAAAAAATACATTTTACTGGAATTTAACATTAGAAATCGGGGGAGAGGGGCAGAAATACTAAAATGAGAAGAAGATTAAGGAAAAATATATTTTACTGGAAATAAATAGTTTAATCTATTATTATTTTATACATAATTCACAATATTTGAAAATACTATTAATAAAACGTAAAAAAATAAAAAATTAAAAAATAAAAATATCAAAAAAGCAAAAACACAATGCGAATATATAAACAACAAGGTATGAATGTAACTAAATAGGTATGTTTTTTGAGACTAGAGTTGCATTTCAAAAATCTTCTAAATGCATTAAACATGAAAACGAAGTAAACGCTTAAAAAAAAATTAAGCTAGCGACGATCCAATTCGTATCAAATAATTTTAAATACATTTCCTAATGAATATAATAATACCCACAAGCTAGTAAATAACTTCATACTAGTATGAGGTTATTTACTAATTTCCGGATAAATTTAAATAAATTCTCTAATGAATAAAAATATCCACAGTTAGTAAATAACTTCATAAGTTATACAGCATGCAAACATATAAGCATATAGTATTCAAATATATAAGTATATACCGTATTAACAAATAAGTATATACCGTATTAACAAATAAGTATATACCGTATTAACAAATAGCATATAGCGTGCTAAGCTTGAACATGAAAATTAAATAAAAACCATTAAAAATAAAATAGAAAAAAATATTTTAGTAAAACAGTAAGAATTTATTGAAATAAAAAATACAAACTATTAGTAGACAAAATATAAATATTATTGGAGTGGTTGGCGTTTATTTCCATAGTTCCAGCCGCATTCATTTCCATAGTAACAGGATAAAAATGTTTATAACTTCAGCAACTCGATATCGAGAGCAATAAGTAACTAGCAGGCGTGTGCAATAAACGTTTGTTAAAAACTAGATTAACACGTAGAAACAGAATTTTTGGGAGACTTGCACACTTTGTAATCTTTGTAATTCCAATAATTTTCAAAACCCTCCAAATATATACGCAGCAGTTGGTAAACAAATTGGTACTGTAACTAATCATTAAAAAACTTTTTTTTTACTGTTGAAAAGTGGATTAAAAAACAAAGGAAACCAGATTAAAAAAAGATTAAAAAAGAATATATCGAAAAAAGATAAAAACAAAATAACTTTATAAATACCGTAAAAAAAATTATATAATTAAAGGTAAAGTTATATCATTAAAGGTAAAATTACGTCATTTACCACTGATTTGTACAAGCAGAGAACTTGACAAATAACTTAGGGGCTCTCTCACTTTCGCAAGTTTCATCATCAGTAGGTTCATCAGCTTCCTGATGAACTTACTGATGGTGAAACATGCTGATATATATTTATACTTATGTCAAATAAGGATGCTTTTCAAAAAATTGCGATGATTGGAGTCTAGCAACAAAAAAGCCCCAAAATTTTAGCCCCCCTGCCCCAAACATGAGAGGAACAAGTTAATGAAATATTTTTTAAACTATTTTCAAATAGACTTATATTCATCAATAAATTTTAAATTACATAGCAAAATATTTTAGCATTCAAAAAACATGACTAAACATATAAATGTTTGGAGTTTGCTCCAAGTCTGGAAGACCAAAAAATGCTGGCGCCACTCCTGTGGCCTTCCAAACTAGATAATTTTCAAAGTAGATAATTTTGCTACCGGACTGGATATCAGTCATAAAACACATGATAACGTTTTAATAACACAGAAAAAATATAAGTTAAAAACACTTACAACGTTATCAACAGCAAGAGGTTGAGCAATTCTTATTGTTCTTACACATTGCAAAACATCTATTAGTTGCTCCACTTTCAAACGTTCAGTGCTGTTGTAGATTGCTACAAATGTTCCACTTCGACCATAGTCGTTTCTATTGTGAACATATATACATATATATATACATATACATACTAATTATTTGAACTACTATTTGTTTACTAATTTTTTTACATGTTACACAATATGTATGAAGATAATGTATGCTACATACAATACATATAAAAATATTAAATATAAATCCGCCATTTTTTTAAATAATAAGTGATAAATTATTTAAAAGATTTTTATTCATTATTTAAAAGATGATAAATCACTCTATTTAAAATTTAATGTAAAAAATCATTTAAGTGACTGAAAAAAAAAAAAAGTAAAAATAACTGTTGGTATTCAAACTATTTAGATACTTATAAAACTACAAACCAATTCTACTACTTTACAAGTTGATAAAAAAAATGTTAAAATAAAAAAATTTAAATATATTATAAAAAAATATATACTACACACACACACACACACACACACACACACACACACACACACACACACACACACACACACACACACACACACACACACACACACACACACACACACACACACACACACACACACACACACACACACACACACAGATCACAGATATATATATATATATATATATATATATATATATATATATATATATATATATATACATATATATATATATATATATATATATATATACATAAATATATGGCAAAAAATATATATATACATATATATATGTATACCTTTGTGTCAAATTTCTTTCTGCCAACTTCTAACAGTTTAAGGTCGGTAATTTATTACCGGCCCCATTTTTCCTAATTTCGAGGGTTGTACATATATATATATACACATATACATAGATATAAATGCAGCATTAGACGCACATTGATAAGGTAATACTAAAACAGGTTGCTGCAGAGGCTTCAGTAAATACATCGACTATCTTAAAGCCTGCTGCCGCAAAGGAGTGCTGCAACGTCGCCTAAGGGATTGGAATAGAACAGCAATGTTTTTAGTCATGTTTTTACAATGAGCGCAAAAAAAGAATATATATACTTGTTTGAGGAAAGTTTTATTTTTATAGTTGAATTTTAGTCATAGCAAAAGTATAAAACAGTAAAAAAAATGCTATTAAAAATTTTTTAAAAAAGTAATTGATATACCGATATCTATCTATCCCTTTATATACCTACCTATCAGGAGAGACTTCAGTACATACTTTAAATAAGGGTTTGAGTATTTCAGCAGCCATTATCTTCATATGAAGGATATAAACTTACAGTAGTAAAAGTACAAAGCAAAGTACAAAGTTAGTGTACTATAAAAAAAAAAAAAAAATTACCCAGCATGCACAATAATCGGTCCATTTCCTAGTTGCTGCTGCGATTTTTCAGCACTCTGCATTAGTGTGCATATATTAGGATAAGCACGTCGGTGAGGAACATCACCATTTGGCCAATCCACATATTGAAAATGATTAACTTCACAGCGTAGCTAAAGTTTTAAGTATACATATTCACATTATTTTAAAGAATAAAGATCAATATATATTTATAAAACAATATTATAATGTTATTTATGGATATTACCGTTAAATATTGGTGCATAACACATGTAACATAAAGAAGTACATGCATTATTGTGTTAGTAAGCTGTGTCAATCAAAAAAGGCATGACTAGTTTTTACAGTAAAATAACTAGGTAGTATGAAGGTATTTTACTAAGTCTATGAACTTTTACTTTTTTTTTTGTAAAGTTTTTATAAGATCATTTTGAAGAACAAACAATAAGTATTACCTTTCTAGACACTATTTTGATTTTCCTTGTTATTATGTTTCCATTTGCAACTTCAGAGCATAAAAAGACATTTAGATCACGATAACTGCATTCTCCATCAACATCAGGCCAGTACCTGTAGTAACCCTATGATGAAATTGATAAACAAAATATAAAACTATTTTTTTTATTTATTTAGCTTTTAAATTTAAATCAACAATTTATTTTTAATTTATGAAATACAGTTATAATATCATATCTAAATTATACTATTATTATTTACTCATAAAATATATAAAAAGTTAACTTTATTTATTTTTTCTTTTTACTTTTATTTCTCTATTTTTTAAGTTTCTCTTTCTATTTTTTTTTAAAGATTAGTAAATTTATACTACCGCTAATGTGTTTACTAAGTGGTCATATAATACAAATAAAAATAGCAAAAATAAAAAATAAAAACAAATCTACCTCAACACCTTCTTGACATTTAGCTAACATGACAATGGTATGACACTGTTGTTCCACCACCATTTTCCAAAATTCATAAGCCGAATCTTCTTTTGGTGCCAATGTCAAAATAAAAGAGTTTCTTTGCTTGTAGCCCTATTTGAAAATTTTTTAAACTTTATTTTGCTTTTTTGTTATTTGAGAAATTCTCTGAAACTTTGTAACTAATAAAACAATGCTTTTTGTAACAATAAAAAGAAATTACATCCACAAAAGAAGCATCTATATATTTTCCTTCGCTAAGCAACACCTTGTAAAGATTGCTTCCCTGCATATCAGATTGTGTGCTTTGACATAAAACCTAAACAAATATTTCTTAGTGACATATTAAACTTCACAATTTTAATTTAAAAATATAAATTTTTAAATATAATTATATATAATACAAATAATAAAGCTTTTTTGTTACAAACGGTCACCTTAAATTAATTACAATCAATATTCTTAATAATAATTTTAAAACTGATAATTAAATTTTGATAAATAGTGTGTTCTCTGACAGTTAACAATTAATTTCTTATTAACAATTGAACCCGTCATTTTGAAAAGGGCACAAGTCCATTTATTTAAACTTTTCAGGATCAACAAAAATAAATTTATAAGAAAAAAAGTCTATGGTGCTAAAGAAACTGAATATAAGAGTAAATATATAAAAGTCATATATAAGTTTTTAAAGTTTTATTTACTATAAAAAAAAAACATATAACCCATATATTTTTAATTTAAATTGGACTTATATCTTTTTCGAAATGAACACTTTTTTGTATATAAAAATCCAAAGGTTATCAGAATAATAATGATTTATTATTACATAAAAATAATTATTGTAAGTTAATCATCACTTAATTCATTGTTTGCCGAAGTTTTTGAATATATTTGAATATTGAATATGGAATATATTTTTCTATTTTTTTCAAATCTGATATCTTTTTTTCATTGATAGGCAATTTTCCAACATATGCAGGAGTACTACTTAATGGTAAGGTTGGCCTTGTACCCATCCTTTGTTATAGCTGAAAATCATAACTGACTAAACAATCTATGGATTCACGTGTTGTCACTAAACCTGGTGTGGTCTTAGAGAATGTGAAATGTGACACCATTTCCATAGGAATCCACAGATAGCACAAGTTTCTTATAATGGTTTGGCCACCATTTTTTTACACCAATAATATCTTCAGTTTTGGGCCTTCTAATTTTTTGCTTGCTTCAGCTAAAAGATTTTCATACTCTGTTGGTGTGTAAATCCGATCATTTTTTCGAATATGTTGCTTTGCTGTTCCAAACATTCTATCATTAGGCAAGAAAGAGTGACCTCTTTTTGGTATGTAATATTTTATCTCATTTATATTGCTATCTAGTTCAGCTACCAGTGATAAAAGTATTTGGACCATGGCATGATTTCTGTTTTGGCCTGCACAATCATCAGAATTAGGTGCAATTCTTTGGCTTTGTTGCCAATATTTTTAAAAATATAATCCAGCACAAAGGTACATACTTCGTTGGAACCTTTGTTAGCAACTCCTTTACAATATGAATAAAATACTGATTTACCAGTTTTAAAATCATATATGCAAAAATCATACAGCCATAGTTGACGTAGATAAAATATTTTCTGGACAAGGATATGTGGAAGTGGGAAATTTTGCATAAAATCAAATGCAATCCCATACACATTTGGATCGTTTTTGCACTTAGTTTCAACTTCCTGTATTTTTTTGTAAAATTTGTTTGCTTGTCTTTTGTGGATCTCAATATCTGCTTGATAGAATCTTTTTGCATTGTCATTAAGCTGTGCATTTTTTAGTTTAATTTTTAACTCTTCGCACAGCCCACAGACATCTATTTGCTTTCTACCAAATGATAAACTAAAATTTTAGAACTTATATCTAACAGGATGATCTAGATATTTTTGTGTGTATAACGTGTGCATAATTTTCACCTTGAGTTTTTCATCCAAATAATAAGATGATGCATCTTTACTATAGTAGTGCACATATTTAACAGGAAATTATTCGATATGCTCACATACTTTTGTTAATGTATCTCCAGGTAATGCGTTGCATCGTGATCCCTGAGATTTACCTCTGTGATCTATAGGCTGCTCTTTTTTTTTTAATAAAATGCATAAACGTCTAACTTGATTCATAGAAATTCCATGCATACTGCAAAAAGCTTTCTTGCATACCTTTTTTATCACACCTTCAACCTTAATGTGATAAATAAAAGAAAATTCTTTTTCCTTAGGTTCTTCAGATCTAAACCGTCTTCTCTTTATTTCCTTCTTTTCAATCAATGACTGCAAGTATGTGTCTTGGGCATTTTTATTATCAAATCTGTTAACAAACTGAATTGTACTTTCTATAACATCTTCAGATACAAGCTCTATACACTTCGAATTACATCTGTAAATAAATAGAATTATTGAGCTAATATTATGATAACTATATATCAAGATGTTTTACCTCCAATTATTGGTGGTAAAACATGAGTAAATAAGCAAAAGTTTGAGAACGAATATAGTCATTCTATATTACAGAACAAAAAACTAACCTGCAAGAAGCACCTGTTTGCCTTGGTGCCAGATCATTTCCTTTGTGGTTTTTATAAGCTTCTCCAGCAATTTTGGCTTTTTTTATTTTTTCGTGTTTATAATTTCCACTGTTTCTTATACCAGACACTCTTTTTCTAGATTTATATGCATTTTCAGCAAGCTCATGATTTTCCATTTTTGTAACAAATAAAGTGAGATTACGTCACTACAGTTGCGCTTTGTTTCACTTGAAAAAGGCATAAGTCCAGGACTTGTGCCATTTTCAAACAGACTTTAATTTTCATTTGCATTTAAAGTTGACTAAGAAAATGTTTCATTTGCATTTAAAGTGGCATAAGAAAATGTTTCTCCTTCAAAGGGAATATGTAAAACACTTGAATAAATAAAATTGCATTAAAAAGTGAAATTCGAAAAAAGTGTGACTTGTGCCCTTTTCAAAATGACAGGTTCAATTAGTTGACAACTTGGTTCAAAAACTTATCCTAGTCTATATAAAACCATATAGTCATAACCATGTTAGATAAAAAAACCTTACTAACAACCATCATAAACTACAAACATGTAAGAGAAACTGAAAGAAATTTTTTATAATAACAATACTTTTATATTTTTTAGAATAATAATAAAAAACTATATCTTTTTGCATGAAACTTAAAATAAAATAAAAATTTTGAAAAATTATTGAAAAACTGTAAAAAAAAAAAAATTTGCCAAACATTATTTTCTCATTCTCAATTGTAATGGCTTACTCATCCTCAACTACAATGCTTAACATAAACTTACTATGTTTAACATAAAACACACTTTCTTTCAGCTTGGAAATACTTTGTATAATAAGTTTCTAAGTTTTAATTATTAAAGTTAATTACTAAAACAAGCACAAGAAAATCTTGTAAATAAGTTTGGTCTTTTTAGTTGTATCAAATAAGAATAGCGCTGAATAATTGTAGTAAAAACTATGGAACCAATTACTAATTTGCTTGGGAAATCTCTTTCTAGATAAAAGTCTTAAATTAGTCTGATAAATAGGTTTTGTTGACTTTTTTTTGTATTACCATTTATTTTTTCATTGACTTAGCAATGTTGATAAAACATCTCTTTTTTTTAATTTATTCACTCCTAACAAAGCTGCTAGCAACCATTATTAAGTTAGGAGTCACAATCAAAAGTTTGGCCACTTTTTATATTTCATATTTTTTTAATAACTTATTTTAATATTCGAATATTAAGACATATAACTTAAAGTTAATGCAATAAAAGTTTCTAATGTATACAATAAATATTTACAGAAAACTCATCTGCCATTCCAGTACCATTCATAAGTTCTTTAGTCTTCTTATCCAAATCATCTAATGTTATTTCTGTATTACCAAACTCTATATATTCCAAAATGGCCATATGGGCAAATATATACTGCTCCTATAAAAAAATATACTGCTCCTGTAAAAAAATGTACTTCTCCTGTAAAAAAAATATACTGCTTGGAGCAGTATATTTTTTTTTATAGGAACAGTATATTTTTTTACAGGAGGCTCCTGTAAAAAAATATACTGTTAAAAATATATGTAAAAAAATGTACTGCTCCTGTTTTATCAATAACTAAACTTTTTTTTTGTTGATAAAATAAAAACCTTTTTCCTATTTTTAAACATGGTGATTAACTTGAACATTCCAATTATAGACCTGTTTCTCTTTTGTTTGTTATATGTAAGATATAGAAAATATTAAACAAAATTCTATCATTCTTTTAGATAACAATTTGATAAATAAGAATCATCATGACAAATCTCTAAATTACAATAATGTAAAGGATGAAATTTTATTATTAATTGGCACATTGGATTAAAATAAAATAAAATATAGAGAGTATAAACTAAAATAGAAAAATATAAAACTATGCATGTCACTTAAAAAAAAAAATTTTAACAAAAATATTAGAAAATAGTGTTGCTGATTATCAACTGACTATTGTAAAATATAAAAACGACTTTAATATGATAAAAAAATGATAATAATACTTCTGCATTTCTGAAGCAAACAAAATTTTAGGTCTAATAAAAAAAAATTATTATTTTAAAATGTTGATATAATTAATTTTGTACATGTTACTCTACATCTATCTCAATATGTCCTCACCTTGAATATACATCTTTCATTTATAACCCTTTATGAAAAATACAAATCTTAATGAAAAATACAAAATACTAATCCTATTGAAAGCAACAAAGCAATAAGACTTATGACAGGATAATTACTATATAAAGTAAAAATAAAATGTCAACTATATCTATGAGTATATAATTACATTGTCAGCACAATAAAACCTTTCTTTTATAATATTTAACAAGTCAGCTGAAAAAAAAGTACTGGTATTGTATTGATTATCAGAGAGATTCAAAAACTTTGCTAATAATAAAGAGAAAACTGATTGGACAATAGTTAGAATAAAACTGATTAAACAATAGTTAGAATAAAACTGATTGGACAATAGTTAGAAGGGTCAGAGTTTTTTCCAGAGTTTTTAACAACTAGAACTACAGATGCCATTTTTTTAGTAGGCAGAAAAAAAAGATGTATTTAATCACTTTTTAAATAGTTTAGAGAGTATTGAAAAGATCTCCAGAGAACACTTTTGTAAGACTATGACAGAAATGTTGTCTGGACCGCAAACAGTAGATAAGTTTAAGAAAGAAATAATTTTAGCAACTAAAGACATTTGTGATTTGAATGTTTAATAATGGATAAAACAATTTTTTCTGGGGTTATTATATCATTATATTATATTATGGAATTATTATATTTAATTGAGAGAATAGCAGAAAAGTTATTTTCAAATAGTTTTGCCTTATCCTTGAGAGATGTAATAGGATCAGACCCATGCATTAGAGACTAAATGTTAAACTTATTTTTTTAAAGTATCTAGAGCCTAACCTCTGAGATAAGATATGAGATTTAGTAAACTGTCAATAATGGAGCTTAGCATCTGACAGGACCTTTTTCATTAATTTCTTGCAACAATGGAAAAACATTTGTTTTAAAGAGAGCTGTTCTGGTAAAAAAGTTGGAAAAAAGAATTAGAAATAGTAGCTTCACAAGAAATTGAAAAAAAATTATTATTAAATTAAAATTGAAAAAAATGGAAGGGCTTAAAAAGGAATGAGGCCTAAAACTGACAAGCTTCCATATCTGTCTGAATCTGGGAAATTACATAAAATGCACAAGTATTGGTTGAGAGACAAAAAATATTTGCTTAAGACTGTCGAGTAGAATATTATGAAAGGAATCCCTGTCAGTGCAACGATAAGTGCAATGATAGGGTTTGAAGAAGAAATATTAAATAAAGGATTTAGAGCATATGTCAGAATGCACTTTTTTTTGCTTATTGTGTATTGAGTATAATACTCACATCATACTCAGTAAGCAACTTAACATACCTATTTTTGTTGAGTATAATTTTTTTATCTTATGTATAATTTTTGAGTATTTTGCGTAAAAATACCCAATTTTTTTGAGTGTAAATTAGAATTTTGCCTATAAAGTAATTTATTTTGAATAACATTTTTCAAGCTATTAGTAAAGCTTCGTATTTAAAATAATGACTTTATGAGTTTAAATTGAACTAAATTTTGTAATTTTGCGTAAAAATACTTTATTTTATTTTGTTATTTTTACAAAATTATAGATGTATATTAGCCAAAATAATTAGGCAAAAAAAAAAAGCTAATTAATGCTATTTATCTTTCTATTTAAATTAAACAAATAATATAATTTTGATCTTTAATATTAATTATTTATAATAATAATTAAAATAAATCTTAGCTTCAATTTATATATGCAACATAATTTAAGCTAATTTTTTTAATGATATTATTTGAATGTTTAATATAAAGTTTTATGTTAGATTTTTGCTTTGATATGTCTGAAAGATATGCCAAAAGAAGAAAAGGTTTTCTCTCAGATTTTATAAATTATTTACAAGGACACGACTGTAAATAGTTCTAGAAAAAAAATATATATATATATAATGATGAAGATAAAGAAAATTTGCCTGTAAATAAACAAATAATCTCTAATAGATGTGATAGCGCCGTAAGCGATTTGTCGATTTCAAAAAATCAAGACCAACCCTTGTTGCAGCAAAAGCTTAAGCAATCCTTCATCAGAAAATTTAAATTTTAAACTATATGCTTAAGAGATTGATGAAATTCGCAATAATAGCAATTATAGCAATAAATGCATTATACATGCATTTGTTGCTTTAAAGTATTACATGAGCCACTTGATAAAGTGGTAATTTTTTTATGCAATTTAATTCAACCCAATGTAACGGCAAATAAGATTTTATGGTTTGGAAAAAGGCTTATGATGATATAAATCTTGATAACAAAGATGATTCGTGCTTAAATGACGATATCATGGATCTTAATAAATATGCAATATCATCCAAAATGGCAACCCAAGAGCTGAGTAACTTGCATCTAAAAAGACTTTTAGAGAGTCATAGAATTTATTTATCATGCAAGAAGTCTTTTGTCTATAATATTATTCCTAAGGTAGTTAAAAAGATAAAACCAATCACGAATCATCTTAGAAAAGCCAAAACTGTTACATTAATAGCTGACATCTGAGATAGCAGTCAAATGGCTGATTTTTTACAAATATTAAATCAATATTATTTTGATAAATCTAAAGTTGATGGTTATGTGAGCGATGGTGGTAAAGCTTTTCTTAGAGTATTTCCTCAAATGCTAAATTTTGACTGAGAAATCGATAATAAGATTAAAGAAGATTTTTGGGAAGACTTGTTTGAAAATGATGATAGCGATGAGAATGACCAGGAACTGAAAAATTCACCTAAAAATAAAATTGATCCTGAAATAAACGAATTGCTACTGAGGAAATAAATCCAATTCAAAATGACATTAAGTTAAACAAGCTATCTAATGAGATTGACACTGAGGTTGATGCTACTGGAGTTAATGATGCTGAAAATTATGAATTTGGGGATCATATTATCATAGATCAATTAGAGTTTGAACTCGGCAGCAGAAAAGTCCCGTGATTTGCATATGCAAACTACAAATTTAATATTTCTATACATAATACTGTGAGGTCTTGCAAACAAAAGAAAACTGTTTTTCCGTTGCTTTGTTCATTTGCTAAACAGACACATCAGACAATTAAAATTGCTTGAATATTTCAACAAAAACAAAATAAAGATTAAGGAACAAAAATTTAACTTGTTGGTCATCAAGCTTTTTAATCTTGATTTGTTTTTATAAAACATATCAAAAAAATTGTTTTGAAACAATAATGTCCAGTTACTTAAGCAGAGATTGAATTCTATTTATCAATGATACTCCCAGCATATAGATTAACACTTTTGAATCAGAGAAATTGCATACATACCGGTGATTTGGTACCAAGTTTAATTTGTTAGAAATGCAATACGAGGAAATGGCTAAAAAAGACAACAAAAAAAATTTTTTTTTGCGAACTGTTGATAAAAGATGTAAAAAAAAAACAGTTTGATCATGAGTTTAACTCTGCTGCTTATGCTGCTTATAGTTTTAAATATTTCTAAACTTTACCTCTGGTATCAAAAACCGATAGCTAAAGCCGCAGTCAATTTAGGCCTAAGCTCATTAGTAAACTTGGCAATTGAATTTAATAAAAAAAGTGAAAAAAATGATGACTGCAAATGCTAAAAATAGTTTCACTCAAAAAAGTGTGCCTGACGATGAAGCTTTTGATCAGTTTTACCAAAGCATAGAATTAGATCAGCATAGAATTCAAATTAGATCAAAGCATAGAATTAGCTCAGCATTGAGCTTTTATAAATATTCTAAGAAACCATACTTTGATCAACAAAACTCAGTTCAATGTGTTTTGTTTTGATAACAAAAAAGAATTGTTCTATCTTTATAATTTGTATTGTATAATATATCCTCCACATATGTTAAATGCTTTTTTAGCATATTCAGTGTAGTTAATAGAAAAAGAACTGGCAACACGACAGATAAAACATTAATAAATCGCACTTTTTTAAAAAATCACTGAGCCATAGTCAATAAATTGGCTAAATAAAAATATTTTCTTTATTTGTTTGTAAATAATTTTCTTGATTATTGTTATGTTTATGAGTTGCAACTACATTTTTGAAAGCTATAATTAATTTTTAAAATGCATTGAAGTGAAACATCATATTACTGAAAAACAAAATTCTATATTACACTCAAAAAAATTGCGTTTTTTTATGCAAAATAATACGTACAACGAGTTGTGTATTAGGTATTCTACTCAACAAAAATGGGTATGATAAGTTGCGTACTGAAAAAAATGTGTACGTTGAGTTGCGTATTTAGTATGATATGAGTATTATACTCAATGCGCAATACACAAAAAAAAGTGCGTTTTGACGTATGATTTAGAGAAATCATTGCAAGGTCCTACCATGGTACCATACTACCTAAAAAAGAACTAAGAGAAACTGAGCACAAGCTAGGGTCAGAGACAACATAAAAATAAAAGAGCGAAGATGAGTGATTAGGGTTGCCTAGAAAATATAAAAATTAAATACTTTAGTGCTAGCAGGGTCAGTGGTACTAAAGCCAAGTCATTTAATGTCATGAGCATGGTGGGTAAACCCACCAAAATTTTATGGGTTTACTCACCATCCTCATGACACTTTCATTTCTCTTTAATATTAAAAGTACTGCCATGTTACAATCCACTCGAAACATAGCCTCATTAATACTCTAACATTTTACAGCTTTTGATAGGATCAGCCTCTCTGAGAGCTACCACAAAGTTCAGGAAACCTTAAAATCAGCCGGTCTCAAAATTATTACACTGAGTTTTAGAGCTGTACCCTTATTAGGAGATAACAAGAAAAGTTGCTAAACCACTAACAATTCATGAATAGAGTGAAGAAGATTTCGGTTTTTGCGAAGCTGGTCAAAAGAATATTTTTACTAACCCATAAAGTTTTTGTGTAGAAGACCTACTACAAGTCAATAGCCAGATGTGGTAAACATCTGCCCAAGAAATTTATCTTCTCTTTACTCATTCGTAAGCCTTAAGTCTAATTTAAGTCAGAGTTTACTTCTTCAAGTCTTTGCCTAAAAAAGGTACCAGAACATGAAGCAGTTTATGAATACTTTATGGTTACTTAGAGGAGGTATTGGATTATATTAAGCAGGTGGAACATTAAGCAGGTGGTTTATAGATTATATGTTACCAGTAGTAGGGTGATCATTCAGGGGCATGGTGGCTCTAAAAGGCCCATGCGGGATTTTATTAAAAAAGCCTATATATGCGGGATTTTACCTTATGTGATAGATGTTAAGGCCCATACGTATATATATATATATATATATATATATATATATATATATATATATATATATATATATATATATATATATATATATATATATATATATATATATATATATATATATACATATCGATGGTTAAGAGCACAAAGGGAATACGTCCACTAACCATTGTTTTGAGAAATCTGAATTTGAAAGTTTGAAAACATACAATAATTCATGGTATTTATTTATTGTCATAATTTTTAACCAAATGCATCTTCCGATTGGTCGACTGTTGAAGCTAAATATTTGTACCATAGTACCCTTATCACTTACTGAATGGCGCGCGCGCAATAACTTAAAACCGTAAGATGTTGGACATATTTCCTTTGTGCTTCTTAACCATCGATATATATATATATTACATATAGTATTACTAAAGTATTTAATCCAAATTAACAAGATGAGGTTTGTAGTACTCATAACTAAAAATGATAACACCATGTTGCAGCGACCACGTTTTTGCTTTGATTTCCTTAAAATACATATTTGCCTCTAAAGTTATGCTAACCAAGGACGATTTAAACTTTATTGTTTTACAAATAGCCATTACCACAAAATTAAAAATCAAAGATTTAAGTTTTATTATGTAATGATATATATATATATATATTTAATATAAATTGTTTTGAATTGTACAAAAAAAAAATAATTAAAAAAATAAGTTTTGTCTTAAAAATTACAACTTTTTTTTAACAATAGCGCTCTTTAAAATGGTCTTGTAATTGGCATACTTTAAAGATAATTTTATATTATAGTTTTATTTATCAGTTACTTAACTGAAAAGTATTTCATATTTTTTTTAATATGTTATTTAGTTGTTTTTTAATTTTAATAATAAATCAAAATTTAAAAAATGATAACAGAAAAATTTAAAAGTAATTGAACCTTTAACTTATTTTAAACATACATGAATACATAAAAGTAATAAAATTTAATAAAAATGCATCATCAAATGCGTATTTTTAATATAATAACGCCCCCTTGTGGGCGTTATTATATTAAAAATGTATGCAGTTCAATAAGTTGTGTTAATTAAAAGCGGGGAGTAATTTTATGGTTACCTTAATTGTATTTGACATGTATAACCAGTCTACTAATAAGATCTCTTTTATAATAATACTTGAATACAGATTCAAGTAAAGGACTTAAAAGGTTTTTTATTTAATTTTTACATTCATTTATTATTGTAATTGTATTATAAATTTTGTTGAATTTAAATTTTGACAGTGTAATTTAAATTGTGCTTGTATTAGTGTGTGGCTTAGCGTTTTGCAACA